GCGGCCTCAGCATGGCCGGAGAAGCGGTGTGTAGGTGCGCGCCTGGGATCCAAACCCGGCCCACCAGTAGCAGAGCACATGCACTTAACCGCTAAGCCACGGGGCCAGCCCCTCTTCCACATATATTTTAGGGGCACCTTAAGTTCCATGAAAAAATCTGTTGGGATTTATATTGGAATTACATTTATTATATAGATCAATTTGAGGTTGTTTGACATCCTTATGCTATTGAGTATTCCTATCCAGGAACATGATATATAACTCCCATTATTTAGGTCTTATTTAATATCTTTTACTAAAATTTTATTATTCTTCATAAAGAGATTGCATGTTTTTATTAGATTTATTCATCAGCATTCTATATATTTTTATTACCACTACAAAATGTTATTTTTTAAAATTAATTTTTCTAATAGATTATTATTGATCTTTAGAAATGCAAATTATTTTTGTATACTGATTTTGTATTCAGTAAACTTGTTAAAATCTCTTGTTAATTCTGACAACTTATGTGTAAATAATCATATCATCTGAAAATGATGACAGTTTTCTTTCTTCTTTTCCAGTCTTATAATTTCTACTTCTTTTTCTTATCCTATTGCTCTAAGACCTAAAGCATAATATTGAATAGAAGTGGTAAGAGTGAGCACCCTTGTTTTGTTTCTGATCTTAAAGAGAATTCATTAACATTTTACCCTTAGGTATGATGTGTTCACATCACAAATGGCTGTTTAATTTTTTTTAATTCTCCTTTACTATTGAGATGGTCACATGATTTTCTCTTTTAATTTGTCAGTGAAATAAATTATATTAAATTGATTTTATAGTATTAAATCAACCGTGAATTCCTGTCCAGCCAATAAAAATACTGAGAACCTCCTTTATGCATAAATTTCACTTGGTCATCTCTTTTCCACATGTGCTCACACTGTACTTCTCCTCTACATGAAAGGCTTTAAAACCCTTAGTTTGTTTACTATATGAATGATATATAGTGATTAAAATCGAGAGTTCTTACCTCAGCTATCCTGGGACTGTCATAGATTTCTGAAATTTCACATGGCTTCTCACTTTCCTAAGTTGGAAGAAAGAGAAAAAGAAAGAGAGAAAGAAAGAGAGAAAGAGAGAGAGAGAGAAAGAGAGAAAGAGAGAAAGAGAGAAAGAGAGAAAGAGAGAAAGAGAGAAAGAGAGAAAGAGAGAAAGAAAGAAAGAAAGAAAGAAAGAAAGAAAGAAAGAAAGAAAGAAAGAAAGAAAGAAAGAAAGAAAGACAGAAAGAAAGAAAGAAAGAAAGAAAGAAAGACAGAAAGAAAGAAAGAAAGAAAGAAAGAAAGAAAGAAAGAAAGAAAGAAAGAAAGAAAGAAAGGAAAGAAAGAGAGAGAGAGAGAAAGAAGAGAGAAAGAGAGAAGGAAGAAAGGAAGAAAGGAAGAAAGGAAGAAAGGAAGAAAGGAAGAAAGAAAGAAAGAAAGAAAGAAAGAAAGAAGGAAGGAAGGAAGGAAGGAAGAAAAGAAAGAAAGAAAGAAAGAAAGGAAGGAGGGAAGGAAGGAAGGAAGGAAGAAAGAAAGAAAAGAGAGAAGAAAAAGAAAGAAAGAAAAGGAAGGAAGAAAGGAAGAAAGAGTGAGTCACAGTATTTGCCCACGAACATGATTAAAATTAGTGGTTCTTAAACCTAAGTGTACATAAGAATTACCAGAAAGCTTTAAAAAAAAAACAAAATAAGCAAACAGATAATAACAACCTCCCCCCCCAAAAAACCCATTAACAAGAAATACCATTATGAGTTACTTCAAAAATAATTCAGGGTAGACAGTGTAGAGAAGTGAGTGGGAGTAGAGATCAAACAAGATTGGCCACATGTTGACAACTGGGTTCATTATACTATGGTCTCCACTTTAGTATATGTTTAAAATTATCCTTAATAAAAAATTGTGTTTTTTTGAATGACCAGTGCCACAGCTCTATCGTCCAGAGATACTAATTTAATTGGTTTTGTTGATTGGCATTTTTGTAGCCTCCTAGATGATTTTAAAGAGCACTGAAAGTTAAGAAACTATGACTTAAATAAATAACACCACCAACAACCACAATACTTCTTAATATGTTTAAAGTTTACAGCTTGTCAACACATCTTTACGTCCGTGATCTCATTTCATCCTTGCAATTTTGCCTACCTCTTAAAATAGGGAGGGTAGTTTTTATGACTCCTATTTTGGAGGTGAACTAACCAAGGCGCAGAAAATGTCACGTCACTTGTCCAGGATCATATAAATCATGAAGTGGCAGAGCTAGAGTTAGAACCGAGGTTTTCTATCTCCCTGTTAATGCTTACCAGTGTGAGAACAACCAGGAATATTCATAAATAGAGGACGGAATTGGAACCCAGAGTTCACACACCACAGTTGTATCACAACCATGGAATCTCCCTGCATCTGGGTGGCCTTTGAATTCTGACCATGGTCCCCAGAGCAATCTGGCTTTTGGAGAGCGTGGGGTTTGTAGATTTCCCTGTGGCTGATATGTGATCTGATGCGGAAAAAGGGCAAAGAGAAACAGAGCCACATACTTCTGGACATATTCGTACCATAGACACCTCAACACCTGTTTGTTTCCTATCTTTCCTAAGATTATCTCCACCCTCTTTGTGAAGCTTGTGCCGTTTCATTTCTCAGCTTCAGAAAACACATCCACTGGACAGACATGTGTTTGTCATGACAGCCGACGTCCCTCTCCACTGCTACTTTTTGCCGCCTCAAATACCATCCTTTTTGCCACGGATTTCCTCAGGTGACCTGAGGGTTGTGTGACAAATCAGCTCTGCTTGGAGCATAATGTCATGAGTCTGAGAAACTGAATAGAAATTGAGGCACAGGAACAATCTGCCATCGTGTCTTCAGAAAACAGACCTGGGTCCTCACACCCTCAGCCCAAAGGCAATTCACCAAAATACCAATTCTCGCCAACACATCCAGACCCATAGAAGCTGCACATCTCACCTCAATGGACTCATCGCTGCTTCTTCTTCGGTGAATCAGAGTAAATAGTAAAGCCACCAGCAGGGCTGTGGCCACCAGGGACGGGATGCCTGCTGCTAATCCAAGAGAGGGCCCACAGTCCTGGCACAGAGAGAAAGCAGTCAGGTTCTCCAAGAATAAAGGGCAAGTTCAATAGATTAAAAATAAAACAAAACAAAAACCTGAAAAAATGTTTGCAATGTACATGACAAATGATTTATTTTCATAGGACTTAATTTACATAGTTTAAATCTATTGGAAAAGAGTGATAATCCAGGGGAAAAATGGGCGAAGGATATGAACAGGCCATTCCTAGGAACAGAAACACAGATGTCTCATCAACATAGGAAAAGCCAAGACAATTCAAAACAACATTTAGATATCATTTTTACCTATCAGTTTGGCAAAAAGCAAAACATTTTATTATATTCCATGTCATTTTGATGTGAATTTTAAAAATTTATTTACACTAAATGTATTAATAAATTAATTTTCAAATTCCCACTTTGCTTTGATCTGAGTGGAAATAGCCAAGCTTATAGCCACATAAGTTTTCAGATTTGCTGATTACCTGGAAATATCAAAGATAATTTGCAGAATTCCTATAAATGTGCAGCTCTCATATAAGACTGGATTCTCCTTCACTTTTTGGGGGAGGAGGGTGATTTTATTGATGAACAACATACATACAGAAAAGTATATAAATCATAAATATACAGCTTTTCACATGAGGAACCCATCCAGGTAACCAGCACCCAGAAGAAGAGACAGAACATTACCAGCACCCCAGAAGCCCCCTCATGCTCCCTTCCGTTCACTGCATGTGTAACCACTATCCTGAAATCATTTGTCTGTTTTTCACTGTCATCTAAATGCAAATAGAAAGTATGTACTATTTTGTATCTAGCTTCTTTTGCTCAACAATTTGTGAAATCCTTCCGTGATTTTGCACATTATCCCTCACTTTCAAGCTGAGTTGGTCCTAAGAATAATAGTTGGGCCAGATTTTGTTCTTGGTAACAATTCACATATGAAACTCTATCTAATCCTCAAAACAAATGCACCAGACGTAGAGCATTATTATCCCCACTTTATAAATGACCAAACCAAGGCTCCATAATTTAAGTGATATACGTACTGCTCCTTTCCCATCTGTAACAACTGGGGAGGAAGTCTGTGTGGAAAAAGAACACACGTCTTAAGAAAAAATCTATAGAATGCACATTATATAAGACAGTCTGCCAAAGGTTAAGCCATAAAGCCTAAATTTCACCCGTTTGCTAAACTTTCTGTTAAAAACAATAAACAATAACAACTGCCAAAGAGAACTTTACTCAATTGCTTCCCAGATAAGAATTGGAGTGAAATTTGGCTACAGGGAGAGAGAATTCAGAAGTTCGGGTGATTTCTTTGTTATTCACCTGTGGATTTGCCATAACACATTTACAACTCACAGTGGCTTTCTCCTGTCCCCAGTCCCACACCCTTCCCAGCACACTTTTCAGTCCCCGTGCTAGAAGGGAAACAAACAGAAATACTGGCGGCAGTAAGGCTCTTTAAGGAAGCTCTACTTGTTTTCAAACACGCAATGAAGCAAATGTCTGGGGAGCATCTGAAGTTGTGAATTATCCGTGCTCCTGAGATAATTCCACATGGAATGAATAGAATATGTTACAGGTTTCCATCTCCACTCAAGGATGGGCACTGGATTTCACCCATTTATGAGATATTTCTAATGAGAGTCTTACCTTGATCAGCAAATCTCAGGGAACCAAGTTCTACATTAGTGGCTAACCGTGTAAACTAGGTACGCTAAGTGGTGTAGTGTGGAGTTAACAGCGTGTGTCCCGGGCTAACGCCGCCCGGAGTGGAATGGTGATCTCTCCACTCACGAGCTAAGGGGCTTCATTTCTTCATCTATAAAATAGGGATGGTATTACCTACCTCTGGGGTTGTTATGAGGATCAAATGAGCACCAGAAGTATACGCTTTGTCATTCCTTTAAACTTGGCAAAGCTCTGGTCAAACCTGCTATTTATTTAATCCTCTCATCAACTTCAGTGGCTACATTGGAGTCCCCAGGGCGTGGGCTTTTAATTATTGTTTCTATTTTACAAAAAATGAAATAGAACTCAAAGAAGTTGTGGGTCTTGTCCAAAGTTCCACAGATAACGATAAATCTAACCTGAACTCAGATATTTGAATTCCAAGCTTAGCCCTCTTTCCCAAAGAGCTCCCATGAAAGGAGGGATTCAATCACCAGGCATTGACATTTGATACTCAAATGGCTACACTCTTACCTAAACACGATCTCACCTTACCCCCCACATTGCCTTAATGCTGCCATTTGCCTAAACTGTTCTGTTTCTCAGCGGGTGGGAAGAGTAGAACATTGTTTCAGGTAAACTGTTCTGTCTTCAGGTTTCAGAAATTCACTTGGGCTTTTACCAAAAAAAAAAAAGAGTTAATTTTAAGGAGGCAGAGGCGCCTTGTGGAGCCCAAGGGCAGCGGGAATCTGGCTTCTCCAGGGACCGGAGCTAGGGATTGAGACCTTGTCAGGAGGGAAGCCATCCTCCTGGGAGCTCTCCATCTCTCCTGGGCAGCCTGGCCTTTCCCCTCTGCTCTTCTTTGCCTGTCTGCTTCCTTCTTTCTCCCTCCAGATGGATTTTTCTGCCCTTGTGAACACCTGCCAATCGTACCAGCTACCAACTATGGAGAACTTACCATGTGCCAGGCTGTTCAAGTACTTCCCTTGTATCAGCTCATTTATTCTTCATCATGGCAAGTGAAGCAGGACTATAATGATCCCCATTTTACAGATGAGAAAAGTGAGGCTCAGAGAAGTGAAGTAACTCGTGTGAGATCACACAGCCCTAAGTGGCAGATGCCGAGTGTCTGGCTCCAGGGTCCATGCTCCTAACCACTGTGATACACTGCCTTACAGGACCAAATCCAGCACCCTGACCCAGTTTTTATATTTGAAAGTTCACTGTGGCCCAGCAGGGACTGACTTGCAAATGTGGCCCTGTTCCAAAATCCCTGCAGAGAGGCTCTGATGAGCCAAACATCACCCCTCCCCCACTTCCCAGGGCACCGGCATTCCCAGTCATTCACTTACACCAGTAGGGAAGGTTAGGTGTAGAACCTAACTGCCAGGCAGGGTGACCAGCTGTCCTAGTTTTCCAGAGAGGTTGCCCAGGACGTAGCATGTTCAGTGCTAAAACCAGACAGTCCCAGGCAGATGAGATGGTTGGTTGCCCTACATAGCTTCAAAGGCAGGAGGGGACAGTTCTCAGAGAAATGGGCTGTTAACCAAGGAGGTACTTCACAGGTGAAGACCGACATCACAACAGCCTCCCTCTCACCCCACTCACCCCAAGCAATGGTTTCTTGCTTCTCTGAGTGACCTTCATAGGATGGGCCAACCCAGGATAAGACAGAACCTGGAGTCTCTACAGACCTGCTGGCTTCGAGCAGCCAGTGGGAAGTTCCAGCAGTGACCATATTAAAAGGTTTTGACAGATAAGGAGAGGGAATTTGTCTGCAGAGAGGCAGAGGCTGAGGTAGGGAGGTTCAGAAGGCAGGACCCCTCAGGAGGGTGGTGCAGGTGCCAGGGGAGTCGGGGGGCAGACTCCGGGGCAGTCAGTGATGGGCACAGGAAGGCTGGCAGTGAGTCACAAGGTTCTTCCTTTCTGCTGCTTTCTGGAACTATGCCCCCATGTGACAGTAAACATGAGCTCTGGCTTAGGAATCCTCTTAGCAGGTAGATTTAGTTTATTATCTTTGAATAACCATATGAGTTAGAAAAATTTGGCACAGCCAAACCCACTAAAAAACTGGGCCAGGCAAATGCCTAGCTCAATCATAGCAGCACTACTGGTCAGAAAACAGCTCTGGCTGTGTTATCTCTACAACATGGCAACAGAAGATGGATTGAAATCATTCAGTCTGATTCTGGGTTGAAACTAGCCACCATCATCAACTGAAAATCTCCGTTTTGACTCCCAACTAAATGTCACAATCAAGAGCCATAAAATGTTCATTCTGGTTGACATGATAATTCCCCTTCTAGACTGTATACTAAGGAAATCATCTTAAATGCAGACAAGGATTTATTTATGCCTATGTTGATCACAAAATTATTTTTTTCTTTTTTTTACTTTTTTTTTTTTTTTTTTGTGAGGAAAATCAGCCGTGAGCTAACATCCTCCTCTTTTTGCTGAGGAAGACCAGCTCTGAGCTAACATCCACTGCCAATCCTCCTCCTTTTTTTTTTCCCCCAAAGCCCCAGTAGATAGTTGTACGTCATAGTTGCACATCCTTCTAGTTGCTGTATGCGGGACGCGGCCTCAGCATGGCCGGAGAAGCGATGTGTCGGTGCGCGCCTGGAGTTCCGAACCCTGGGCCGCCAGTAGCAGAGTGCGCGCACTTAACTGCTAAGCCACCTGGCCGGCCCAACACAAAATTATTTCTAATTGTGATTAATCGATTAAAAAATAATTCACCTGAAGAAATATCATGTGACCATCCTCAGTTATGGTTATAAAGCCAGATGGAAAACATTTGCCGTTTAAAATTATATGTAGAGTGAGAACACAATGGTACAAAGACAACAAAAGTCAAAATTTATATAAAACAGGACGGGAAGGAGTGACACCGATGTTCTCTGCTGATGGGAATTTAGATGTTTTGGTTTTTTGCTATGTTCCTTTTCAAAATGTGTAATTACAATTTTTATAATTGAAAAAGTTTCTCACAGCAACCCCCACCATTCATAAGTGCCTTCAAAAACCTGTGTCACTGGGCCGGCCCCGTGGCTTAGCGGTTAAGTGCGGGCGCTCCGCTGCTGGCGGCCTGGGTTCGGATCCCAGGCGCGCACCGATGCACCGCTTCTCCAGCCATGCTGAGGCCGCGTCCCACATACAGCAACTAGAAGGATGTGCAGCTATGACATACAACTATCTACTGGGGCTCTGGGGGAAAAAATAAATAAATAAAATCTTTAAAAAAAAACCTGTGTCACTGATCACTCCGCGTGAGGTTTACGGGGTGGCATTCTGGAGGCCCAGCGTAAACCCCGCACTGATCTCTGCTGACCTGCTTGGTGGATGGGGACTGCTGTACTTACCATGTTGGCTGGCAGTGTGAAGTTCAGTGAAAAACTCTGGAAGAGAGAAGGAAACGTTAGAGCTCCTGGGAATGGTCAGCCAGGCTGCTGACCCTCCACCAAACACCACTGACCCTGGAGGATTCCAAGAGAACTTACTGATCTCATAGGTTCAGTCAGCCCCAGTCTCTGCTTCCAATCTTGGCCCCAAAAAAGAGCAGGGGAGCAGAGGAGCCTGAGATCTTGAGTTCCTCCCTCAGCTTCAAGTCAGTCTCGCCCTTTCTCCCATCCCAGGTCCTCAACCAGGGCCAGATCAAGGGGCCAGCCAGTGAGGCTACTGTCTGAGGAACCCCGACCAACAAGAGCAGCAAAAACACTACTAGAAATTCAGCAAAGCACTAAAAATTGTTTTTATTCCCAGAACTCTTTTCAGGGAGGGAACTGTGTGAATTTGAAGTACTTGGTATTTACTGCTTGAAATAGGAAGTAAAACCCCCAGGCGACGTGCGCCAACAAGAATATCTGCTCCTTAAACCCCCTTCCCAGGAGAGAGAACTTGAGAAAGACAAGGCCTCCGTTTTTGCTGAATCCAAGACAGAGGTTCCGGGCTGGAACTGAGCTGGTCAGGATGACAGAAGACAGGCTAACCCTTCTCTACCCTCCCCTCACTCAGCACCCAGCCTCTCCTCTCCAAATATGGAGTCAATATTTAAAGATTGTGGGCTCAACGGGGCACCAAATTGTTAGCCTGCCCAGGTACCCACTTATCTGGGTCAGGCCCTGCCCGGGGCTTCTGGTGGCCCTTCCTCCTCTCTGTCCCTGTCTTCTGTCACTGCATTTTGGGCTGGTTGATGCCAGTCTTTCCAGCCTGCTCTTTACCAAGACCAAGATAGACATTCTTCTAGGGCAATGTTAGAGCAAGAGGGACACCTGGGTCACCTTAGGTCAGGGTCTTCCTGCTCAAGGGACCTAACCACTGCCCTTCACGCTAACACCAGCCAAGCCCACAGATGCTGCAAGGACACTTGATGGTCACTGCATCGAACACAGCTGCCCAGAGCCTTATCTCATCAGGGAGTACAGGGCACTGATGTCACCAGGCCAAGACAAAGCTTCCATTGCGGGGACAGCAGAAGGCGTGAGCAGCAACAAGTGGGCCATTGCATGTGCTGTTTATCAACATTCGGATGACGAAGATTTTGGACAGTTTCAGAAAGACATTCACATTTTGTAGAAACACACTACAGTGCTCTCATGGAGAGAAAAACATCACGTAAATTTGAGTGGAGAAGAATCTGACGCAGTGTCCTTTAGAGAGGCAGCTGGGTGCCCTGGGTTTGGAGTCACCTGATCTGGATTCGAGTCCAGACTCAGCCACTTAGAAACTGGGTGGCCTTGGAAAAGTGACTGAAACTCTCCGGTCTCCATTTCCTCACAACAAATCTATTCTCCCAGACTTAGCTTTCCATCCTCAAAATGGGGACACTATTAACTTGCCCTGCCCTTCTCATAGGATAAGCCCAAAGGAAATAACGTCTGTGTCGTATTCTTCATGACCTGGCCAGCACAGAGCAAGGCACTGGGAAGCCACTTGGGAAGATCTTGTTGGATGGAATTGCCTGCGTGGATTAGCAATATCTGAAGTACTGGAATTTGGTACAATACACTTATTGCTAAAATACACTTCTTGTTAGTCTAAGCGCTATATATAATAGTATATAAGCACATATAATATCTACACACAATGGTTCTGAAGGCATGTTAGGATCTCAGTGGCTGAGTGTTACTCATTATGAGTTTACTGTTTCTGAGAGGAAGGAGGGGGAGACAGGATAATCCCTCACTGTCATTGAGGGCACGCTGTGTGTCAGACATGGCTCTCACAACCTCCCCACAAGGAGTGTGCTCTAAACCCTACATCATGGGTGAAGGAGCAAGACCACAATAGCTTTCTCAAGGTCCCCAGCTGGTAGGTGGCAGAGGCCGGGTTAGATCACAGATCTTCCTAACTCCAAAGCCTGAATTCAACTCCTTTTAATAATCTCTTTAATAAAGGAATCACAGAAGCCTCTTCTAACTTAGCAAACCTCATTTGATTGAGTCACAACCAAATATGTACCACAAGTCAACAAGAAAGGTGGAAAGTTCCTGACGCAACTTTGATGTCTATGTTGCTGATCACGTCGCAGAAGGCAGACTGAACAAATAATGATAAGGGCATTGATTGGACCCATTGCTTCAACTAGGAAATGAAACATCTACTTTGCACCCTTGTTACATGTGGAGTTTTAAAAACAAAAACTTAATATTAAAATAAAAGATGAGATCAGAAAATATTAGACGAGAATTTTTTTAAATGATTAGTATTTTGCACATGGGAAAATAGTTAAAAACCAAGCCCCTTGACTTCATTGCACCAGGGTACAATTCTATTTGAATTAGGAGAGGTGAGCATTAAAAACCTGGGCATTGTTTTTCACAGAGAGAAATGAAGGGTAGGCTGAGAAGAGATGCTAGCTCTCACTCACCATTTCCGCCAGCCTCCAAAGAACCTTCTCTGAACACTACCCTCGGCAAGCTCCTTTCTTGCTAGAGTTATTGGCTTGTGTCTTGCATTTGTAGGAACATCCAGCTGGGAGAGCCAAGGGTGACAGCAAGAAGTGGCTCCAAGAGAGTCCTGGCCAAGCCATTTATGGTCAGGGGAGTAGCCAAGTCCTCGGCCCATCCCTCGGGGAAGATGGTCTCCTGCTCCATGGCCACTGCGTATGGCTCAGGTCATCCACCCTCTTTGCTTTCATTTTCTGTCCTTCTTACTTTTCAGCTCCCTTCTTCGGTTACACCTCCATCTCAGCAAAGAATCCACAGCTGACCCGAGAGCTTGGAGGCTTTTGCAGCTGGACGATCTTTAGAAACAATGGGTTACACAGGCTGAGACTGGCTGCTCCATCCCCAGCTGCCAGTCATCGGCAGTGCAACTGTCCCAGCAATGATGGAGTCAACACGTTACCAGCATCAATGCAGAGGATGCCTGGGAGATGGGTGTTGGCGCTGATTCTGTGTTTGAGGCAGGGCTGTAGCTGCCACAGCGAACACACTCCCTAGTCAGTGAACTGCCTGGCGATGAGTTTGGCCTCACCCCCTCTCTGTTTTCACATTTTAAGTGGGGATCCTCAGGGAGCTGGAGGAAGCCATTGACATGGGTGGTTCTATATTTCTTATGAGTTCTCTGTTAGGAGTTTGCTTCTTTGAAACGGTAAAGGAGTTGGAGTCTCACGCCAACAAAACAACAGTATTAAAACCAATAATTTGGTCATTTAAAAGAGTACAATCATTCATTTATTCAACAAATCTTTTTGACACCTTCTATGCGTCAAGCATTATTCTCAGCACTCTTTTGGGCCTTGGTGATGAAGACAAGTGAGGCCCCAACTCTCAGGGAATGTACTTTCCAGCGAGGGCAGAGGGACAACTATCAGAACAAGTGAGAGCCACTATGGAGGGGCAAACGGTGGGTAAGGGGAGAACGAGCGGAGTGACCGGGAGTTGCATTAGCCATTCCCAGAGGTGACATTTAAGCCACAAGTGAAAGATGAGAAGAGGGTCCCAGGCAGAATGACCAGCAAAGGCAAGCCCTGAGGCTTGCTGTGCTCACAGAACTGGAGGGAGACTAGTGGCCTGGAGCAACATAAACAAGGCAGTGACCCCTGAAGAGGTTAAAGGAGGGGGAGTTAGGGGCCTGACAATAAGAGCATGGCAGGGCATGGTCAGATTTCCAACACAGAGCAATGGGAGCCTTTCAGGGGTTTTAAGCGAGAGAGGGGCATGATCTAATTGATGTTGACAAAGATGGCCTGGCTTCTCTGTGGAGCCTGGATTACAGGGGACAAGAGTGTTAACCCAGAGACTAGTTAGCAGAATCCAAGTGAGCGATGATGGTGGCTGTGCTAGTGTGGGGGCTGTGGAAATGGAGAGCAGTGAAGGGGTTTGTGAGGTAGAGGCTGTGAGACTTGGTGATGGAAGAAAATGTGGGGCAGTGGGGGGACAGAAGGCGAGGGAAAGAGCAGAATGAAGTCGACTCTGGATTTGGGGCTTGACTAACAGAGGCTTCATTGTTTTAGGCAGGTAATAGTGAAAAAGGGACTTGGGGTATGGGGATCCAGGCACTGGGAGGCTGTACTGAACAAGACCAGTGTGGTCTCTGCCTCATGGGGCTTCCAGTTCCCAAGACTCTACAGTGCTGCATAAACTGATTCTACGGTTGCCTGGACACCATGGAGACAACAGTTCAGAGAGGCCTGTGTTTAAAGCCTTAGCTGCCCTTCTGGAACCTGTGTGGTCTTAGGCAAGTTAAGTAACTTCTTCCAGCCTCAGTCTCAAGCTATAAAGTGGGGATGATAGAGTTTACAACGACTGAACTATTTGAATCAGCACAACTGGTACAGGTTATACTTCTAATTTGCTTGGTGGGTGTAGAATCACACCCAGACCACAGAGCTAGACCAAGGAACTCCAGTTCACGGCCCCAGGCCTCCTGGCTAGGCTGTCTGTGGATGGGCAAGGCAAGGGAGGTCCTTTTTGACTCTTTTTCTTTGCTATGCATCTACTGATCACCAACTTTCCCCCCAAAGGACATATTATTCCTTTAGAAGAATTGCTATGACCTACAGTCAAGTGGTGCTCTGGCCTAAGTGTCTGGGTCAGTCATAGTTCTCTGGTCACAAGCATCAAAACAGACTCTGATTAATTTAAGGGGAACTTATTGGTTGGGTGTAGTGGAGCTCACAGAAAGTAGAGAGGGCCAGGGAACCAGGCTCTGGGAAGGCAGAGCTAGGATTCTTCTGAGGCTTCAGCAGCAGGGACTCCTAGACAGTCCTCTCAGGCTATCTTCCCAGGGAAAATGAGCTCTAAAAGATCTCAGCCCTTTTGCCCCTTGATCAAGACTCCAATTCCAGGAAGAGGATCTGATTGATCTGGCTTGGGTCACGTGCCCAAGGAGTACCTGCCACCTGGCTGACAGTCTGCCCAATGCAGGTCCGTCCAATGCAAGAAGAGGTGGTTCTGCATAAAGAACTTGGCACCATCACCCAAAGAAGAAGGAATGGGTGACGTGAGTGGGCTCTCCACCTCTGGAAGTATTAGGCCTGAGAATTATCTCATTAGAAATTGTAGAATGAATGCCCTTAATGGGTGAGAGGTTAGGGCTGTCAACTCTGAGATTCTCTGATCATTTGTATTTTGCCACCATTTAAATTTGTACCAGCCCAATCACACTGATTTGCCAGGCAACAACTGGTCAGTTTAAAAAGCTGGTCCATTCTAAATGATAGGCGCCCTTACTTGGATTTTTAAAAATCTTTATCAAAAATGTCAGTCAAGTAGTGATGAAATGTTAAAACAAACAGAAGGATTCTGGTCATTTCCCTATCTACAAATGTCACATGTGAGAGTCACTGGTGGGGTCCACCTGATATTTCTAGCTCAACTTGTTCTTAACTTGAAGTTAAGAGTAGCCTTATGAGTTGCTGTGGCCAATGACATGTGAGTAGAAGTGATATGTCACTCCTAGGCAGTTGTAAGAGCTAGTGTATAATTTGTCATGCTCTTTCCCTCTGCCGTGGAAACCAGCAATGCTCCAGATGGCAGGTGCTCCAGCAGTCCAGTCCTGACTGAGGATGATATGGAAGAGCTTCCAGATACCAGAAATGAAAATGTCGTATGAACAAGAAATAAGCCTTTCTTATGTAAAGCCCCTGACATTTGCGGGTTGTTTCTTCTTGCAACATAGGCTACCCTATCCTGACCCATACATCAAACCTTCATACCCTCGCACAACTGGGGCTCATCCTTTAGGTACTGGCAACTGCAAAAGGGCAGAAAAGTCATAAAACCTTGACACTCTACATAGAGCACAAAACAGTTGCACGTGTTAAATAGTTTTGTATTAAGACCGAGTGTTTTTACAAACATGAGTCCATATTACCCTTCCCTGATATGACCTACAAAACTCCAAACATACCCACAAGTCTCTTAATCTAATCAACTTAAAAAGACTGTCCTTGATTAAATGGAGTCTCTGTCCTTCTGTTAGAAATGACCCTGTATCAGTTGGGGGCCCCACATGAAATGAGAGATATACTCAATTTGCTGTATTTGAAGAGGGCTTATTAAAAGGACTATTTATAAAGCTCTTCCGTGGGGGACAATGCAGTACCCCAGGGTTAGACCAGCAGGGTGTCATTACCACCCCAAGGCCTGATGAGGTAAGTGGAAGGAGGGGCTGCCAGTGCCCAGAGAGAGAGGGCCACTTTATAGGAGCTGTGACCTTCAGTTTTAGATGTCAGATGTGGTCCTCAGGCACTTGGTGGAGGTGGAGGTGAGTGGAGACAGTTGCTGAGGGACAAACCGAAGATGTCTACCACATCTAGCACCGTTGGCAGCAGCAACCATCTCCACGACAATTATGTCATCAGATTTCCAGCCTGTTTGGGTCCAAGAAAGGCGGCAACTTTGAAGCTATCTTTGGCATTGTTCATGACTTTCTGGGTCCAATAGGGAGCTCTCTTCTGGAGCCAGGCTCTGAGTACTCACCAGACAATAGAAGGCCATAGAGAAGGCCCCACTTTTTATATCCTTCACAACTTCTTGTGGTATTGGAGAAAATTATCACCAAGAGGACCAATCTTGTCTGAACTAGAAACACAAACCCAGGACACATCAATAAATTCACATTCTTTAATGAAACAGGTCTTTCTAGGCAGAGACATATGTTAGCTCCTCTCCACTTTCTCTCTGAAACTGATAACATTTCATGAAAGGTAAAATTACACAAAATAAAAAATACAATAAATTTATAGATAACACTCTAAACAATTTTTCTTTTTTTAAAAGAAAACTTACAGGCATTTGGGATTATTTTTCAGAAGTTCAGTCTACAAAGGAAAGTTTAAAAACATCTCACGGAGCCAAGGGAACATTTTTCACAAACTGAACAATAATACCACAAATTATTTGAGACTTATCAAGGACCAGATCAACAGCAAATCCCAGTGTGAATTTGCTAGTTAAGATTTTACAAATGATTTAAACAGGCTGCGCACTTCATGAGTAATGTGAAACTTAAACTTAGAGGCAAATAGTCTTACAGTGAATCAATGCACAGCCTTAGTTTCTCTGTTGGGAGAAATTCCACAGGCTAAAGTTAATTCTAGACCCTTACTCTGCCCTGGGATCCGGGTTCTAGCTTCTGCTAGACTAGATTACACTGGAATTGGACCAGCCTGAAGACCCAGACCCCAAATATTTCATCAGGTTGTCAAGACAATTCTCTGAACTGAAGCTAGTCTGGGAGCTTTGTGACATCCCCAAGAATCAGCACCCAATTAAAGGCCAAAGAGGGCTGGGGTAATATCCCCTGGCTGCTCCATCCACTTCCAGAGATGTGCTCAGGAAGGTCACTGAGCATTTGGAAAAGCCACGGCGGGGGGCCTGGGTTTTTCTGCTAAATGGACTTTCTTTTGTGAAGCCAGCCGTGTGGTTCCTCGCAGAATCTGCATCATGCAAAATCGCCGCTGAGTCTGAGCTTCCAGGAGAGTGGTCTGGCCAGCCCCAGCTGAATCAGAGTTTGTCTTTTCTGGGAAGACGTCACTCACAGAAGGCTGAAATGAAGGTTTTCATACGAGTCCCATTGTTTCAAATTGGCCAGGGGTTGATAATTGTTGAAGTTGTGTGTTTTTGAAAATATTCATGCTAAAGAGATAAAAATAAGTACCATTGTTTCATGAGGGTGGCAAATACTGAGGCAGAGCTGACTCCCTCTCCTTTTTCCAGGGAATTCACCACTCTTATTTAGACTGCTAAAGGTTGAAACTACACAATTTTCATGTCCTTGGAGAGAAACTCTTAA